AATGCTCTGTCGTTCGTTTGCAATTGTGTGGTTCCTTTAAGTCTACCAAACATTTAAATCCAAGTGTAATGCGGCTGGCCAGAGAGTGAGCTTGGCACGCATCAAACCCGGCTGTCGATATATAAGCTGGCATATATCGGGGGCAATCGGTTTCAAATCTCCGGCCCATCCGAGCGTCGTCACGGGGCCCGCGGCTTTTCCCTGCCGCCCGTTGTGGGCCTCTTTCGTTGAGCCGGGCCCGGAGATTCACAGGAGACGAAGATTTGTCAGTTTTGCTTTGGCTCGGGGTAGACGTGAAGATGGTGGTCTGGTGACCGCGGGTCGGCTTTCTCGTCTTTCCTTCGCGCAACCCCGTCGGCAAAACACCAAGAATTTACTTGCATGTCAAAAAAAAATCCTTCATATTTATCTGTTTCGTTCACTGAAGAGGGAATCTAGGGCATTCCACGGCTGGACTTTATCATCAACGTGTCATCCATTGCTAATATGACATTCGGAGGTTCTAGTTCTGGGAAGGTGTATTTGTTGTAAAAATCTTTTTTTTTTGGTTAGGTTTAATTTACAGAATACAGATACGAAGCAATAATAAGACAATTTCTCATTCTGGACTTTCAGTTTCATATCTGTAACACAGCATTCGAAATTCTCGTTTCCTGTCCATGGTCTGTTCTGTCAGCGCTCACGATACGGTCCATTTCCGATCCCAATTTTGCTTCTCCCAGCGTTTCGGTATGTGTCCATCATTTCGCAGGTCCACTGTTACATAAGCGTCATATAGTCTTTGGACCCCAGACCCAACCAGTATATTTTCGCGGCTCACCTCTAAAGTCAAGCTAGAGAGAAGCGGGTCTTACACACCTCCACACTGTTTTTGCGAAAACAAGGTACTCAGCAGCTTTAGATTTTCCCTTGTTTATCCCCCTCTTGCAAAGTGATCTTCAGTTGGGCCGACGACTTTAGCTCCTGTGTCTTTCGGTGAATGAAGATTTCAGACTCATCAAATTGTACCAAAATCAGTTAGTTACAAGATATTGTTATGGTGGCCCTGGAGGGACGTCAGACATTGCAAACAGCTTTGCAAATATGTGCTTAAAAAATTGCGATGTCGCACGTTCTAGCCTCCGTTTGTTCTGTGCGTGTGTACGGGTATTTGTAGTCTGGTACTGAGCGGACGCATGCACATTAATACACTGAATCGAAGAGATAAATTAAATTTGGCGCGATTAACTGGCGGCGCCGCTGACGCTTACCCTGAACATATAAAAAGTTGTTGAGATCAAGATGAACTTGGAAGATTTCTTACTTCTTGGCCCATACCAAACGTACCAGACTACAAATTCCCGTACACGCACAAACAAAACGGAGGCTAGAATCCAAACAACTCCTCTACCCCCAGGCTCTTGACAAAACAGCCGAAAACAAATACATGTAAGCAAACTATGCGACAAGGTATGCAATACAATGTGCAACATCGCAAATTTTATCGGAATTATTTGGAAAGATATTTGCGATGTTTGATGTCCCTCCAGGGCCACCATACATTGTGCTTTTATTTTGCAGTTGAAAAAAAAAACTGATTTTCTCATAGGGCGCAGCCAGGATTTTTTTTTTGGAGAGGGGGAGCAACTCCCTATTTTCTACGGGAATTCCAAACGGGACAAATCTAAAAACCATTTTTAGTGGAATGGGTCAACTCTTTCACTTTTTAAGCAAGTGCAGAATATTTTTGTGACAAATGGGGGTCAGAGCAAACGTTGACTGAAAGGCAAAAAGTGTATAAGTTACACTGTGCGATGTGACAGACCCGCTTCAATGTCATAATGTCTCTCACGCATATTTTGTTTTGGACTTTACTCAAGAAATCCGGCCATTTTAGATCGTGTTCCCTGAATCCACATCGTTTATTGAAAACCCTGAAATAGCAAAGAGCCTAGCTATAATGGGAGGTATAGACTCCTCATTTTTTTTAATTTGCTTGTATTTTTTGTCTTCATCTGGAAAATGAAGGTGACATGACTTTTTATCCATAATTTGGAAGTACTCATCGAAGTACAAGGTTAGAAAGAAGTTGTCTATAGTGAATGACATCAGGACGAGTAACTGACCAGTAGGACACTGCTCCAGGCCCTGTCCCGACCACAAGCAACAACTGACCGATGGAAAGAGACAAAGATGGTCATCGTCCCGGCGTGACGTCTGAATGGCTCTGACAGGCTGTAGTCCCCGTTAGGCTTGAGAGCCTCGCTCTCGCTGTTTATTGCCCTCTCGTGCTCCAACATTCGGAATTCCTGCCGAGGTCGATGGCTGATGCGAGTACACACGAGCAGTCGCTTTGGTACAAGTATAATACTTAATGTGTTTTCATATTAAGTATATTTTTGATTTGTATATACAAATCAGATCAATCAGAGTGAAGTTTGAAATCGTGTGAATCAACTCTTCTTTTATTTGGTTGTTGAGATTTTTGTTATTCTTTATTATTTACTCTGGTTTGTGTTTGTTTTGGGAGGGTTTCCTGTTCTGCCTTATTCTTTTTTGGGTTTGGTTTGATACTTGGTTTCGTTAGGTTTGGTTGGGCTTAGTTAGGTTTGGTTTACGAGTAAATATTACTGGTCGTTTATTATTGTATCATCGCATTATCTGGAGGCTGACATCGCCCTCTGACTGCAGCATGTCGAAGGTCGATCACATTCGAACATGCACAGCACGACTCTTGTCAACCTGTCAGAAATGTTTCTACACGCCGCAGCGCAAGTTCGTTCATATCATGCACCGCTGCACCGTGTCCAAATGTCGCTTCACCGAAACACATCCACCTGCATTATCTTGACGCGGTGTGCCGCCAATCATGTGTCATGTACTCGACTCTGCACCGATGCACAACGCAATAAACCACTTGAGGCCGTCATGAGTTAGCACAGCGCCACGGTTCACTCGTCAAAGAGTCGCCGATGAGGACCCGCCCGCAGGGACGCTAACCCGAGACAACACCAACAGTAGCCGCTTCCCACGTTGGTTGGCTGACTCACGACGACTGATTTATGTCCAATCGGTACTCTCAATTCTGAACAAATTAAATGCCAAACGAGCATTCATAAGTCGTACCTTTTCTACATTGAGCAAGAGGAATCAAATTTAACATTTCCCAAATTAATTTAATTACTTAAGCTGTGTAGCATTTCATGAAAAGAATGCAATGCTGAATTGTAATTATGTATAACATCGGATATTTTATATTGTCGCTTTCTTAAGCCCATGTTTTGCCAAAGCATTTGTTTGTATATTCTGCTGAGAGTTGGCTAAACAGTTACGGATGAAATAGGTATATGCGTTTGAAACGAGGTTCCTACACTCATTATGCCGAGTAAGAACAAATCCAGTGGTTCATGGTCGAATTGTAAACAGAAAATTGACCCGAGGGGACGTCTGTAGTAGTCGCTGACGAATCTTCCCCGATATTAATGAAGATCGTTGTAGACCTATGGACTTATTTCTCTTCTAAGGTCTGCATGGTCTGCCTGCAAGCTGCAAATTAGCGTTTGCTAGTTGTCAGCACTCGTAGCAACCAGAACCAAAAACATGGAATATCACAATCTGAGTTACGACAAAAAAAGTATACTAACAATCCCGCTGTTAAATAACTTCAAGAGTCTTTGCTTATTAACTTATAATTACTCCCAGGACCTTTGGTTTATTATGAAAAGGCAATAAAATGAAGGTCTTCATATCACGCAGAGAGCAGAGAATTACTTGAAAATGTTTTAAAACTGGAGACGTTGAGGTTTAGGGTATTAGGCACTGTCTGTGTACAAGTTGTTTTCTGTTTCAAACTTTTGCTCTTTGTCAAACTAACACCATAATCAAAGGCTTGTGGTTCGATGTTATTAAGTATATTGTGTTAGATCCCTACGGTAAAAGTTTCAAGCCTTTATCAAAATTTCATGATTCCGTTTTACATTATACTTTTGGTTTTGGTGTGTGATTACAGGACTTTTTTTTTCTTTTTAATAATTAAGTTACATTGAACATTTCTCGCAATTAGCAGCCGACAAAGGAACGGAAACATTCCTCTGTAGGTATGAATCCTTGAAAAGCCCCTTGGGTGCCTTTCCGCCCTTCCATTTGCAAATAATTTTCTCAAGCACACGCTTCAGAGGCGAATGGAAAATCAATCTTCCGGCCTTCGTCGGAATCGTGCCGCGAACCTGATACGAATTACCGGGAACGCGAGTCCCGGCTGGGTTATCTACCGCAGTACCGGGGGACATGCCCCGCGGGCCCCGCCGGCTCGTGCCCTTCCACGCGCTCGGCTCAGCAGCGCCGTGTGCTCACCCCCCAATACCCAGGCGGGGGAGGGACCTTGCTCGGCCCGGGGAACTGTTGACGAGTCATTGAGCGGGTGTTAATTGTTATTATTCTTCCCTAATTTCTTGTTGACGGAAGAAGGGCGACGGCCGGTGCTTGTAGCCGGCCGAGTTTATTCACCTCCTATCAGGGAGAAACAAAGACAAACGAACCCGCCTGTACCTGTTACGCCGCAGTTTAGCGTCCGGTGCTTTACACTCTTCAACGACTGCCCGTGAAATGTATGTACTCAGGAATAAAAGTGTTTCTCTTTCAGGAAGTAGGCTACCGGTACTTTGTAACATCATAAGGCAATTATCAAGATCACAAGTATTGCTTCGCAGAGGCGATTGAAATCAGCAAGCTACGAGCATACTGTTCACCGGATTTCTGTTTCGAAGTTTTAAAATGAATGCCTCAATCAAGGACGGAGCATGAGAGGCACCAGTGTTCATTACTGACTATCTTTCAGGAATCTAAGCTCCCACCGCGGGAGATAAATTTCCTAAAATAATGTCACCTGCGAAATGAAAACAATATCAAAATGCTAAACTGTTGTGTTTAGCAAACGTTAGGAGCCATGTAAGAAATTATATCGCCCCTAATGTCTGTTTATGTAGGCAAAGATAGTACTTCTATTCGTAAGAGTTTCACAACATGAATGCAATATGTAAAGCACCATACAATTATGGAACAATTATTGTACACGTTACAAGGTATAGCCTACTTTTAAAACTATCGAGAAATCGTTGATAAAATTTTTAAGTGCTTATTATAACTTGCATTATTATCCAAAGCACAAGTCAAATTGATTGACGTAATATTTACGTACAAGTGGTACGTGTGAGTTTAGCCTAAGCTAGCATTCGCCGTCACTACGTTCGAAATCAGGAGGAACGAGTTAACGCCGGTTCATACTACGGGCGAGTGTGAAAGCAAAGCAATTAATTTTTGACGTCACAAAAAATTGCAGCGATTTTTCGTTCGAGTTCAAACGTGTTGAACTTTTGCAAAATGTTTGATCTGACGTCACAAACTCGCTGTTCAGTTCGCTTTTGCGCCAAGTATTGGCCGGTCTCTATGCATGTTACAGTTTGCAGTCCTTTTTTTCACAGTGATTGCAATGCAACTTGCTTGCGATCGGTGTCATGATACAAAGGGTGGAAAATGACAACCGGGGGATGTTGAACATTCGACCTCAGCTGTGTTACAAAACAAGCGATATCCTTGTCGTCTTCTCTCGCTACAAGTGTCTTGGAACAGGGAGCAACAGTGCTGACTGCCTGTAGGTTGTGCCCTACACTTGTACGTACAGTGCCATTCAGTGTCGAGCAAGACCTGAGCTCGAGAAACCATTGGGCCTGTCGACGCAATGACCTACCGGTACAGAGCCAGAGTGTTCACGAGGTAGAGAGGGTATACGCATTGTTAACGCTCCCGAGTTACAGCAAAGGTCATCCCTCCAAACACTGTCATTCATTCATTTCCTCATTCAGTCAGTAAGGTCTATTGAGACACTTTCTTCGCGGCCAAAAGCGGAATTGCTAAACTTAACAAAAATCGTACATTCTGAATCGTAATCAAAAATACAATATAGCAATTATCATGCACATGAAATGAAATTAGATTCGTATGGTGGGAATATTCTTTTTCCTGTGATTTCTGGTGCTGCTCAACAAGAGGATGGAGCTTATTACACCGAGATAATTTGAATGTGTGCCGGATCAGACACTAAATAATGTACGGACTCTGAAACATGACAAGAATTACAATGTGCAGTTAAAATAATTATTTATGCATACAGGATCCACAATTATTTGTAAACCAAAAAAAAAATTATTTATACAGAAATCATGTCTATTGCACTGGTAGCTTATCCAGAGGATGTAATCGCAAAAGTGATACACAATCAACAACTTTTGATTTAATCGTGCCAATTGTAACATGGTATCTAAATCAGAAAATGAAGATCGTGTTTACGAGAAACTTTATTTAAAGCCTACTGGCCGACGGGGGAGATATAAGCTGAGGCGTTGAAGCGCCTGATTCCTCAGAGCCAGAAAAGTCTGACCGTGAAAGGACCATTCCTACAAATGTTGTCCTTTAAAAGTGCGCAGCAAAGAAAACGTTAATGAGTGAAAAATAAAAATTACAGCAGTGCTCACCGGAAGGTAACTCTGCTTTCGCTTTACAACAGTCGATAGACCCTTAAACGTAGTGCTAAAGGAAAAACAAACGCATTAACACAAACATAACAAAGGAAAACACAAATATATGGCAGTGTTTTTGTGCCGAGGGTATTATGTAGTTGGTATTGCATAATCCAGAAAGGTGGCCAGAAGCATTCATTTGTACACGCATAGCTTGAAACAATGAGCAAGCTCGAGCGACAACTACAGTTAACTATATACATGTAGTTCGACTAACACCGCCCGAGCGTTGAGTGGTTTTGACTGTCTAGTCGACCATTTGGGACCAGGCCGAAGGGTACGGTCGCAATATCAATAGCCGATTTCATTTATCATTGCAGAGAGAACCATAGGCCTACATATGAAAATAACTGCAGTAGAAGTGTTTCTATTCCGAATTCCCTGAAACCTAAGAAGCCCTGAGCGGGACCAAGGGCTGGAGGGCGCAAATTACCGGGCAGCAGAGGCTCCTGCTGTGGTAACATGCGGTCTCCTTGCTACCAGGATAAGGAACAGTCTCCAGCAATATGTCTCTTTTCAACCAACGAGGGGGTGCTTCTGCTCAAGGGGAATAGCCAATGGAACAAAGCAACAGTTATGTGAACACTCTGTTTGAGGTCAAATGTACTATTTGCATACAGCATCTAAATACCAGTGATTTTGACAAAACTGCCGTCCCCATGCCTTCTACTTTAAATCTTCTCGTGGTGGTTGCTATCAAAGCCAGTAGGCAACAGATACAGACCTTCCTCGTAAAGCCCAACGTCAATATAGTCCTGTCGAAAAAAATACAGCGAAGCAAACAGACTGTAAAGTAGGAGTGGAGACTAGAACACGACTAAAAGTAAGGCCGTTTCAGAATCATCTATTTGGGAGCTGCTTTGGCCAATGGGAGGCTGCTACAAACAACGTCTTGACTTCCATGGACACTTATAGAGGGATCCAAATAGGACGCTTTTAGCATCGATCTGCGTGGTTAAAACTGAAGTGTCACACTTACGAACAGGATACTGCATGTACTGTGTCGACTCCGCGAGCGCGCGCGATAAAGTTCAACACAGAGAGCCTCGGTTTCGATGCGGATACGGGCAGAAGGCGCTAATGTGAAGTCCCTCTATTGTCTTAGTTCAAGCTGAAGCAAACCATTGCGGCATTGGACAAGACTGATTCTTCAAACAACTTTGCGGAGGTTGGCGATATCTAACTATTGCCTTTACAGCAACTTCAGCAAAAAAGGATCCATTTTTCTTCGACGAGTCGGAAGCAGGAGCTTCGACTCTTCCCATTGTGACTAAACGTTAAAGGCTTTTAACAGGATGCAAAGGCTGGTGTTGTCACAGACAAATACAGGTGATAATACAGTGCAGGTTTGCAAGGGGCGCCATTTTGTTCAAGTTTAAGGTCGACTTCCCACAATTTGCACAAGTGGAAATCAGCACAAAACCTGACGAAAGTTTTGATAGATGGTTGTATTTGGAATATTAACGGAAAGAAGAAAGGATTTATTAAAACCTATTCTCAACGCGCACTTACGAATCTTCTACTGAGACGAATACGGGAAAATCAGGAATAAGTAAGGTTTCTAAGCGCAGCTAACGAAAGTGTCGACATAGCTTATGTCGACAGTTTTCCTTTTAGGCCATTCCTTAGCATACCGATTGGCGGTGCTGTCTATTGTGGTTTGACCGGATTGAGATCCGAATTTGTCGCAACTTTGAATTTGTCTGTATACGGCTGTGACCATGACTCAACTCTGGAGGGTCGTCAAGTGGTATAACGTACCGCTTCTGTTTCCAAGAATTTCTCCAGCGAATTCAGTAGGTCTTCGAAGCAAGGCCGACGATCCGGCTCCACGTCCCAGCATGACATCATTAGGTTGTATCTTTAGAGCAGATGGGAACGAGAGCAAGGTATGATCTTTGCCAGTTAAGTGGTGCATGAATGTCGTATGTTATGAGCTTTGTTTTCCACGTTATCACCTTGTCTTCATTTACCCAGACCCAGTGCCTTTGTTGGGATGACGGTTTATGGACAGTTAGAGACAGGTTCCTGTGTTATTCGTAGCCCACTTTTGTGAGCAATGGAAGAATTGCAACGAAGTTGCAGAAAAAAACTATGCGTCATTCATGATAAAATTTCCAACATAAGGGAGACATCGGTCATTAGGGAGACATTTCAATGTCTCCCTAGGCTCCAACTACCAAAAGGAGGAAAATTGTTATTGTCCACATTTTGAGAGATAATAGATTAGGATCTGAAAGGAAAACATGCAAAGTTTGGTTAAGATCAGATTAGGGAATATTGAATTATGGGACGGTAAAGTTTGAAAAATTTCCTATGGGAATGTCTCCCAAGTGACCCATCTTCGGTGAATCTAATAACATTGATCATAATTTTACTAAAATTTCTTGGTATGTACTAAGCTTTAATGAACGCTGACAATACACAGCTCATGACAGAAGAGGGACTATCTGCCAACGAAAGCCTGGCTAAAATCTTTTTTAAAGAATTCTGGGAACCGAAAAAGCAAAAACGGAAAAAAATACAAAGTACGAAATTTTGCAAATGACCACGACGTACAGTTTGTCATCACAGTGCTTCGGTTTAGGCATTCGGTAACCTTCTCGAAGTTTGCTTATGACGTCACGGACTGTCATACTGGGGAACGGCTGGGCACCTTAAAGCCGTAAAACAAACAAAAAAGGTTCAGTTAGAAAAAGGTATAATGTTAAGATTGTGTAAAAATGAATAAAATCACTGAAAATGAATTTTAATCTTTTCAATTCATAATTTATGTTCTTTAAATAAAGGTACTAATTTTCGTTGAGGAATTTACTCTAAAATAGGAATACCAAAAGTGACAATTTCCCAGAGGACGATTCCAAACGACCAGACGTCGCTCTTAGTCGAGAAGATATCCTTGTCAATTGACTCAAGGGCCATCCAACGCAGTGGTAGAGCATTCTGCCATTAAATTAACAGTTAGATGAACTATATGAACTTGAGTGTGCGACATGAAAAAGCCTTTTGTACTGATGAAGTTTTTACCCCAGTGCATGGTGGGATAGAATGGTGGTCATCCGATGTAGACATCGCTCAGCGCTGCAATGGTCATACGCTTCACGAGGATGTTTCTAAAAGGCACGTTTTCTGTAACCATCGTTCAAATCTTCTGGGGCTAGGGTTAACGCTTTAATAACATATCTCCCGCAACTGGATGCAGCAAAACAGCACCCTAAACCTTCCCTGTGATCGACTTGTAACTCGCATGTCTGCCGTTTCCCATAACCATAGCATGCGGCAGCCGAGTAGACTGCACTTCATGACCCTTATTCAATCCCATCATTCACTGCGGTAAACACTGTGATACGTCATTGGGCCGTGGAGATATTTCTATTAAGTCATTTTTAAATCAACGCATCGGTACAATTCAGATTTAGCTGTAGCAGATAGAATGGTTTGGGAGTTGAGCTGGGTTCGGCTCGACTGATCAGTACTAATTGGAGTTTGGTCAGGCTGAGTTGTTGGCTAATGCTCGGGCAGATCAGGCTGTGCGCGTCTGGGGGTTTTGCCATGATGTATCGGGATGCGTTGGCGGTTGTTGCTATTTGCTGTCGTTACTGTTGTAGCCTTTGTTGACGCTGGTGGTATATTTGCTGCTGTTCTTGTTATTCGTGTTGTGACTTTTGGGGTTGTTGAGGTTGTTGCGGGTACCTTTGTTGCTGTCGTCGTTGTAGTTGCGTTGTTGCTGTCGTTGTGTTGCTGCTGTCGTTGTTGTAGTTGTGTTGTAGTTGTCGTTGGTTTGTTTGTGCTGTTGCTGTCGTTGTAGTTGTGTTGCTGCTGTCGTTGTTGTAGTTGTGTTGGTAGCTGCTTTTTTGTTGTAATGCCGTCACATTTGTACGCGAGGACGATATTGAATCTAATCTTGTTAGGCCTAACTAATGTTGTTGCGGTTGTTTGGTTCCAAGAGTTCCTTAGTTGCTTTGATGCCAATTTTGTTTCATACATATGATTACTCACATTGGTGCGTTTTTGTGACGCACGAGAGTTTCTGATCTCCTCGGCGAGACCAAAGTCAGATATCTTGCAGGCTCCGTCGGCAGTAACGAGCACATTACGGGCTGCCAGATCCCGATGAATGCACTTGAAGTCCACACAACAGAAAGATTAAAAAAAAAACGAAAAATCTCAAGCGCTAACAATTGTTTTTTCCCGAAAAACCACAACCTCAAAGTATCCCAGATTGATATACAGTTCATTACAATATTGTATTCAGTAGTTACATTACAGCTTTAACATTGAGCTCAGATAGATCGAGCACGGCTCCAAAAGTGTTTATTGATGGATTGGAAATAGCACGAGTACTTTTACTGAATCAACTTGCCAGTGAGTGCTGCTTGCTACTTTCCCAAGACAGCCATTATCAATTGAACACCACCTTCATCTGTGCCCCAAAGGTATGGCTGCGGCTTCAGACGTACGCGGGCGAAGGAAAGTCAGTCAATAGTGGCTGCAGTAACTCCGTTACAGTGCGTGTCTAGTCCCAGCTGCAGTTAGTGCATCCGGTGCAAAGGCCTCACATACCTTGTTGGCTGACAGGAACGCCATGCCCTTGGCAATGTCCCTCGCAAACTTCATCAGGTCGGTGCCGCCGAGGGCCTCGTTGAGCACGTCAATGTACGTGTAGTCCTGGGAGCGGTTCTGCCGCAGGTACTGCTGTAGGTTGCCGTTGGAGAGGTACTCAAATATTACATACAGTGGATCTAAGCGAAACAAGGACAGTGGGAAGTCAAATATATGCTAAAAGAAGCAAAACATAATTGTGTGTTGGACTCATCGTTTCAAGTGGCAACAATAGAGGGCGTGCCTTCATGTAGCACCAACGCTCTTCGGTGATAACTCGCTACGCATGGACAACCGATTTCTGTTTGTGCACAGTTTAAGCATGCGTGCTGCCCATGTGCACGAGGACGGCTGAAATGTAGGGGCGGAGTGACAGATGAAAAACGACTGAGAAGGAACACGTCTGCGACATTTGCCACGATGCTTTTTCACGCACCCAAATACTTGAGGATTCAGCATCTTTTGCAGAAAATTCTGAGCAGAGACGAATCATTTATGAAGTGGTGTTGCTCTTTCCTTGCGAACTTTGCAAGCCTGGTTTGAAGCCCAAAGCTCCGCCCTTGCACGAACTAATGCTCAATATCTGGTAACAGAAAACAAAAAACTTTTACATCGTGGACGAGCGTCTCAGACAAAGGGTCCGTAAACCAATTTTCCGAAGGAACACACATCACCTTTCTCCAAGCAGCTGCCAAGGTAACGCACCACGTTAGGGTGCGATGACATTCGGTTTAGGAGGTCTACTTCCCGGAAGAGATTTTCGATGACATCCTTCCCGGCGTTTTCTGAAGAACAGGGAAGAATAGATGAATATTCCTCAACTTTGCTTCTAGACAAGAGACACAAACCACACTGGCCCCCAAGAAATGTCTACCAGTGGCCCTTTGAGGTGTTTTGCGGGAGTTAGGGAGGTACAGTGCATGCTTTCTGTTGTTATTGATCGGAGTTCTATGCATTACACGTGACTTCACGTCACTTGAAAGATCCTGCGTACAAAAAATGCTTGATCGGTTTGTAGGGAAAATTGAATGAATCCTGAGCATTTATGACGGTTGAAGTCAAACAAGCATTGAAGGGGTGAATATACTCAACTTACATTGGAAAACAAAAACCACAGAGGTGACCTTCATGCAAACAGAAACAGAGGCAAAGACACTCGCCTTTCAAGGTCTTCAGGGCAACATAGGTCTGGTTCCCTGTGCTGAGGATATCGGTGGCAGACGCCAGGTAGACCACACTGAAGTTGCCCTGACCAATCACGTTCAGGATGGTCAGCTTGGAGCGGGGGAAGGGCTGGGTGGCGGGCAGGGCGGCGTAGCGGGAATTGCCGTCGGTGGTGTCGGGGTATATGCGCGGCCGCTCGCTGACAGGAGGACCGATACAGGTGGAGAGGTGAGCTGGTCTCGGCAAAGTGCATGCAAAGCGTAAAGATGTGAGCTTTGCCTAGAATTTTATAACAGGGTGTCTGGGTACCAAACAGACTCACGGATCTTGCCAACAACTCCTTTGCTTCTTTCTTGATGCAGTGAGCAATGTCATTTATTGATAATCAACTGCAAACATGTTTTTCCTAATTTTTGTCTTTGTGTTGTGCTAACAACTCAGTCAGCCATCAATTGTAATACCTTAATAACTCTTAACTCCTAAACTAGTTCCGTTGTGTTTTCTCCTCATGGCACGTCCAGTGCAGGATTATAATTGATTTCTTATGCTGACGTGGACTAGGTCTTCCAGCCTCGATTCCGTAAGTAGAAAACTCAATAACATCAAATTATTACGCTGTGGTTCGCAAGTTTTGTCCTCCCAAAGAGTCAGTGTACAATTTTTTAGTCTGTGCCGTTTAATGTTATTGACATGAACCTGAAAATAAAGCCATAAGTACAGTGGACATTTTGATTGATCAGCTATATAAGAGGAATTAATGGTTGGTCTTGTAACTTTCAATTAAACACGTTCAGCCTATTTTTGCGTAAGCTTTAGTCCACAGCTGTATAACAGTGGGAGACTTTGAGATGCTGGTGGCAATAGACATACCGGTCCTTCTTCACAGTATTGCGCGTGCTCATAACTATGCATGCCTGCTGAGAACTGGTTAATTTGTTAATTTGAAAAAAAAGACCGTTATGTTTGCCGCCACCAAGTGTCTCAAAGTCTCTCATTAATTAAAGGTAAAAGAAACAAGAAGGCTTTGAAGCTCACCGCACGAGTCGCTGGATACATCGCATAGTTTGGGAGCAGGTGGTATTTGAATCCTTGGGCAAAGAGAAGAAAATAATGCAAAATATACATTTCTATGACAATGATCATGCCCAAATAGCACCAAGTTAGGTACACATAAAAATGTGCTGAATTTGGTACCGGAAACAGTTACACGTTACTAAGTTACAAATGGAAAAGGACACAGTGTGCCTGAATTTCCTGTTTAACGGATAACGGTTCTAGTATAAGCAGACACATCATCCTTTTTTTCCTGAAATGACTAATGTTGTGTATAATTTCAATGGACCGTCCTCAAAGTATCCATGCGCCGATTTCACCAGGTGACGTCGTGTGTAGTATTTTAATTAAGTGTCTGTGTCTTGTTGTTACAGTTAATTTAATAAACTGTACATGAACTGTCGAATCGTGGTACTTTTGGAGCTGGGCAAACAGACATCAGAGCAGGAAACTTATACCAAAGGATTGAATGCATCTACTTGATCAAACAAAATCGAAATCATTTCTTGGCGTTGTTATACTGACCTGCTGTCCAGACGTATGAATGATACTGGCTCGTCCACTGAAATAAAAAAGAACAAGTGTTAATTATCAGTGCAAAACCTATTCCTATGCACGCATTGACACTTTGTATACCACGCGAGTTACCTATGACTAACTGACTTTAAGTCTAACCTCGTGCCCAGTGTTATGGGCACATTCATTCTTCAACCGGAACCGTTTGTGGAAGCGTTTAATGGGGAAACCGATGGCGTCTCCGAGGTCGTACCCAGAGCCATGGGGGGGGGCTCACGTAACCTTTTATGGCCTTTTTTAGTGATAAGGTTACATATTTGAGGTTTTTGGATGCTTTTTGATATGTATAACAGCCCCAAAAGGTCGCCTTTCATTGTTTTCTGGATGATGATTTTTCACTCACTGGTAAGAAAAGCAATGGAATTTTGTCCTAGGAAACACCGCTCACTTTAATCCACAATTCCAGCTACCTTCAGGTCTGCTTCGAGTTTTCTTCCTCTTCCTGATGACAACAAGGGCAACGAGAGAGAATGCTACACAGCCCAAGACGCCAAAGATCACACCGACGATGACCCACGCAGACAAAGCTCCTTAAAAAAACCACACACACACACACACTTAGAGGTTGGAAGACGTGCTATCTGCCTTGGTTGAACACAGCCAATGGTGGGCGGTAGTGCTCACTTTGTTGGTAGCGATTCAACAGTAACGTTGCATTTCATACGCACTGTGAACCAGCAAAGTGATGTTCCTACCAAGGAGCAGGCGTTGCTAGGAAAATTGCACCCTCTCGGGTCAGGCTCGAGGCGCATAGAGTCCGCCATAAGAGTGGCATAAACATACCACACGGCGAACAAAGGTATTGCCTTTTTCACCTCTTTGCGACCTGCAGCTCGTATGAAACAATCTTCCATCTTTGGTTCTTGGTTTACACCTGCCACACAAACTTAAGTCAACAGTTTTCTGAATATTAGGTTTAACCACGTACGGAATGATATCTTTATTACCTACAAATTAGTTACAACGCCAGCCAGTCATCACGTTTGAGTATCTATTTCTTTGTCACACTGTGTAAATTTGGCGGCGGCGTTGCACTTGTCAAATAGGGAAATAAATGTGCGCTTTCTGGTAATAAATGTTCGTTTCACATTGGATCAAGAGGATGGATTGCGGTATTCTCCAAGCTGAAGGCAATGGATATACTTGGATATAATGAATAGTCTTTCCTCTTTGCCTGGTCCTTAAACCACCCGATCCTACCACCCACCACTACTTATAAGTGCAGCGAAATAGCCTGCAAGAACTGTGATGTTAATACATTTTCGTATGACGCAATACCATAGGCAAACTTACAAGTGAGGCAAGTCAGCGTCACGAAAGTTTGCAAGCAGAAGGCTCGAACAAGCCTCAAAGCTAACCTACTGTATTGCATCATACGGTAATATATTAGCATCAAAGTTGGAAAGTGGCTGTTTTGCTGCACAGGCCTCACTTGGCGATGGGTAGTCGGATCGGGTAAACAAAGCATACAAAACAACTTTTCAAAATTAAAGATTTCCAACGATATTGTTTAACAACTTTACTTCAATTTTCTTCAAGAGCAATTTAACCTACTTTTCGGTTTGTTTTTCTTGAAAGTGTTCGTGAACAGTTTCCTCATATAGAGAATGATGCCCGAGTGATGCGCACTTTGTAAGATTGGGCACAGCAAGCCGGTGTTTCACCAAACGTTTAAGACTGACCACGTGACAGGTTCATGACCAATATAGCAATGGTTAACATGTCATACGTATTCTCGGATGTGAAATTGTGACGTAGAACAGTTTTCTTTCATTGCCACTGTTTTTCAGTTTTGCACTTCTGATGTAAAGCATTTTTCTTCATATAGTTCTGGTGTAAGGAACCGAATTATCAATTATGTGGTATGAGTAAACTTTGCCTCCTCTGCAATGCTTGCATCTAGCTTGATCAGTTTGTTTTTTGTCATAAATTTTAAACATGCTACTCTGCCAAAACCGCAGGAAACGCAATGCACCGCATTCGCCACAAAGTGTCACTTGATTCCAGTTTGGTTCTATGCATAAACCAATTCTTTTAAAAGCCAAGATAGAACTCGACTGTACCCAGTGGAAAGCGTATATAGATTGTATCCACCTTAAAGGAAGACAGCGCATGCCCGTTGTCACAGGGTGCAAAACCCAGTTAGGATTGAACGATTTGCCAGTAGTACTTTGTCTTTTTGTTCATTTTTTGTGATATTTTGGCAGTGTGGATAACAAACAGGTGAAATGAGCTCACGACTTTTGAAACTGAAGGGTACAAGATTAATGATTACAGAAACGACAGAAGATGACTACGTTAATTGCCATAGCGACTTCAAGAGTCCACCAAGACAAACAGTCATGCGATAAATTACTGTCAGTAACGAGAGTACACCGCCCTCCCTCTCCATAGCTGGAGCGCTTAATGTCACAGTCTTGATTACATCGTTTTGACCAATTCGTCTTTGTGACGTTTAACGACGTTGTACCACAGCCCACTATGACTGATGTCAGTGATGCATCCGGTACCTTTTTCATTAAGCCTTCTAAGAGGTCTGTAGATTGCATTCTGTCTCTTTCATGTCGTTGACACCTCTTCAGTTTTTGCTCATTAATTAAATGTCGGCCGATTTGTAGTGTGCAAATAAATTTACAAAGTGGACTTAAGGCATTAAGAATAAAGGGAAATTATTGTACACGATGTGAGTTTAGCTGATATTCAACACAAAAGCCATAGTAAACGCTCAAAGTGTGTTCTAAAGTAATGCAACCATATTTTGACTGATAACTAATGCCGTATGCAATGTGATGTTTCATATGTACACTCATGTAGCGTGCATTTTATTGACTTACCACAGACCTCCATCATGCAAAGCAGCATCACCAAAGGGAGGCTGGATAGGAAATGGTATGTTCCCTTTCATAAATACGTGAAATTGAATGACAATACCCGATGGGTTTACGGGGAACACGATAGCCATGGCAGCATCATGAATAAGGTCTTTACATGTATAATTACACAACCTCGGACGACCGCAGGTACGGGGCGGAAGCATCGAACTACACCAGTCATTGCGTGACGCAATGCCTAACGAGACCGCTGATTGGCTCAGGATTTGTAAACACTCTTGTAGTCGAGATCACCACAACACCGTCCACAAGACCAGACATAATGTCGTACAAGAGACTAGCCACAAGTAACAGGCGACAAGAACACGGGAATACTTTCGTTGCAGTTTGTTTGACTAGCGTGCGACTTGAATTCTGGCTGGAGATGTTATGTCGATGTTGTTATGGTCTGAAGGGGTCTTTCAATGGTTAAGAGGTCTCGACCCCAACCTAGGTTTTAACGGCATAGATACATTGTCCTCTGGTGCGGTTGTCCGTTGTCAACTTGAACAGTCAAACAGGAAACCAAAGTGTTGGATTTTTTCATTAATATAACAACGACCCTCCCAAGATAAATCCCCACCTACCTTTCTTCAGTACCAAGGACACTTCAATGGTCGACCCCTGTTTCATGCCGAGCGTCTTGGCGTCACAGACCAGCTTCTCTAAGTCCATATCCTCCTTCACAGCTAGTTCCAATGTCCCAGTGGTGTTGTACAGTCCCCCAGAGGCCTCCACCGCCTCCACCTCGTCACTATTGTGACGGGAATTTGCCAGGATCCAGGTAATGTCTGCGGCGGGCCGGGTGCCGGTAGCGCGACAGCGGACCGTCTCGTACTTGTCACTCCGCACTGACAGGACGTCACCGGAGTGGTATTCCTTTCCACTGTGCAAGATTGCGAGTTCCTTTGCATGTGCATGTACTGTGAGGGGCAAATCAATCATCATGGAATATTTCAGACAATAACCAATACCTTCTCATTGTCTTGTCCGTCGCAACAAGTCCCTCCACGAGTCTTTGAACAAGACCAACGATGAGTTAAGAGAAGGAATGAACAGTGACAAAATCGATGTCTTTTCACAGTTCTCAGCAGATTTACGGGCCATTTAGAATGACGTGCGCCACCAAGAGGTTGCCACAGCGGGACTTTTTGCGGTGCATTGAGGGAAAACGGGAGATAAAAGTTCTTTGCGCGGAAACTTCCGCTGATTCGGAAGTGCTTAAGGCGCTGTTTTATATGCACGTTTTTGTGTTTCAAGGCGTACACGATGAGATCACGCGCTTTGCTTTCACGAACACAAAACTCGACTCCATTAACATAACACACGTAAGTGTGCGTACGCGTAGGGCCGTGAAAATCGCCCTGGGAGTGATTTTGACGGATACATAATGCTTGGCGTCAGTGCTGACATATGGAAAGACACTTTTTACTCGATTGAAAGAGTGTTTTTGTACAGCATGGAAAGCCCCGATTAATCACAATTATCTCACTTTCCTCAAATTGTCTATTGGGATTTGCTCTTGAAATGCAAATCGCGGCAGGTCGACCATTTTCTGTCGACCATATTAACTTGACCATACTAACCGCTTGGTGGCGCACTGTATCGTGAATCCCCCCGTATTGAGTCTGTAAAGGAATTATTTGTCGTTTTGTATCACTTCTTAATTTAAGCTTGATGTTTTTGCTTCCACTTCTGCTGGTAGGTTGGAGAACAAACCATAGAGGCTGGCTTGCTTCTTTGTAGAGCTGCCATATATTTGGTCGTGTTTTATCGGTTTTGGATATTATTTCTGTGTACAGTGTGTAAATGTATGTGATGCACTGCCGGCTTGGTGTATATTACTGGTCTCTACATTACTACATATCACGAAGCGCAATCAGTAGTAAATATGCATGCACAGACCAATGCGTATCTGTGAGAGCCAGGGCTGTACGCCCCCAAAGAAGTTGAGTCTAACTGTATAAAAAAAATGAGTTACCCTTGCAAAGATACTTGTTTTGCCTACCACTATTCATGGGTACATTTTATGTTTTTTAAATTAATGACTTATTTTGAGGAATCTGTTCTATTTTGCTAATATTAACTAAACTTAACATTCATCAATTATTTCCTCTGCGGGTTCTTGCTGTTGTCACCAGAAAACAAAGGCAGGCGATCTGTTATGAAAAGGCTTGTGTGGATCATAGGTTATTTTCTCGGCACCAAGTATGAAATTATCCGAAAACGTTACTCACCATTTACATCCAACCTGAAGCCCACCACCAGCCCTCCAGTGGCATAGCCCCGATTGGACGCATTGCAGGAGAGCGTCAGGTGGTGGTCCGACGGCGCGGGCTCAAACACAAGCCGGCTGGTGCTCACAAGCAAGCCCGTCTGCGGGCACGCCTTGTCCGAGCTCGCCTCGACAGGGAGCTGGCGGTCCCCCACGGCCCACTGGAAGACGGCCGCTGGCCGGATGCAACTGAGCGTCACACAGGTGAGCTCGACAGCTGTGCCACTAACCACTGTCAAGTCGACGTCAGCATCTTCTTCACTGTCAGGACTGTCTCCGCTAACGCACTGGCTAGAGCCGCTAGATTCTTTGCGACAGAGCTGCACTTCGCGGAGAATATCTGCAATGAAAAATAAAGAAACAAAAACAAACAAACAATGCATAGAAAACCTAACAAAAACAGACCCAAAAAAGGTCGGTTCGAATCAAATAGCGGCTACACTTGTTTGGGAAGTGTAGCGCCTGATACATTTGTCTTTTACATAGTGGAATCTCTGAACTCTGCTTACTGTTTATCACAGGCTTCACGCAACCGTTCGAATACGACTGGTGAAAGCCTTGTTGATAGGAGAACTGTCCATCGAAGCAGAAGTCAATCTCATCGTCCAGTGACACGTCGTGTATCGTCAACGAGCCATCAGTGGTGTCCAGCACATACCGACTGTCCCGGTTGCCCGGACAGTAGTTTGGGCCAGAATTGTAACCGCCGGATACGATGAGATCTCCGTTTAGGGAGTTCTTGTGCCAACTTATCCTTATGATCGACAGGTTGGCGTCGGGCGAGTACTTGGCGCGAAGCAGCAGGGCGCAGTTCTCCCCCAACCAAACCTCGCAGGGGACAGCCTCCACGTTGTTGCTGTAACAGACAACTACATGCGAGAACACATTAGACAACAATGAGAAACTCATCCTCACTTTACCTTTCAGTGGGGAAGAACTGTACATAAAAGTACTTCTATTAATCATTAGATATTGTGACCATATACTGCGCTGCACCTGTCTTCCAATTAGGTCCCTTGCCACCTCAAGAGCCAACCCGTTTGATCAGAAAGGGAAAGAGGGTTCTGTGGGTTGGGATGTACAATAGCAAGTCCTGTTAACATTGAACATGCGAGTCTCATTTTGGTTCAGGTTGAAGTTGAAGACGCCAACTTAAAGCAAAAAACTAAATCTTCATAGCCCAGCAGCTGTTGAAAGGTTGTCAATTAGTACATGCAGAGGGGAAGAACAGGCAGAGAGTGAGTGCGATACGCTATTAAACAGTGTGAGGTAAATTGTCTGATTCCTATATAGGCTCTAATGCGTTGTTACGAGTTTATGTCTTGCTGTATCACTTCAGAGGGAAACTTTGCAGCGTGTTACTAACTTTGCTAAAACAAAATACGTATAATATTTAAACGTTTTGAATTGTAAATAAATCCTTCGTCCTTGAATGTTCCATACTGGTATTAATTTTACACGGTGTTTTTTTGCACAGATGCAATATAGCAAAGAGAGAAATATACACACCTTGATACTGCAGTAGCATAACGGCCGAGATCGCAACCCTGACAGAAATCATGTTGACGACATCAGCGGGCAATGGTCCTCCGGCTCAACACCGACACGATGCGAGCCCTTTTAATTTCTCTGATGAAATGGGCCGATATCTCTGTCCTTCGCCGAAGCGGTGGCTACTCGCTGACGTGGGCAGGTGGTGATGCATTACTCTCCTTGCCCGCTCTGCAATCGCCCCAATCCTGTCCCGTACCAAACATGGGCGTTGCCAGGTTTTTTTCCCGGAGGGGACCATTTTTTTTCCCAGGGGGTCACCAACGTGATGCAGAGTTATCAGCTAGAGGAGGTCAATTTTGATATTATTCAAAGCAAATTGGTACTTTTCATCCCCATTCATGTATTTCTTTTCTTTTGCCCCCCCCCCGGTTTTTTTCCATTTTTTAATCTCTCATTTGTTCCTGAGTCAAACGCTGCTGTGTCTCCCCGATGACCAAGGTAGTAAATCCGTCATAAATCAAGTAAATTTAATAACAGGTGGAACTCCTGTCAAGAAATGACATGTTATTGATCAGTTGCATCTGCTGATTTTGTGTGTGTGTGATTTACTAGTTTAATTGAAGCTCGCCATCGGTCAGTCTGCCTGGGTTTTGACTACTACATAGCCATTAAGAACTGCTATCTGTTGTGGTCCAAACGATGCGGCTCTTTTGTTGGTGTTTAGCACCCATCCGAAGATTTGACAAGCCGCTGCTAAGTGATGTTAATCGCACGTTTCGTAGGCACTTAAAATAATGTTATGTTATGCTACGTTATATGTTAAGTTATTCCACCATAAGAACAACCCCAAGCCTTAGGAGGGCTAGAGCAATACGGGTTTAACACAGTCTGGATTGCATGGCGACGTTTTTAGTAAGAGCATGAGAGCTATGTCATACTTGATAATTTGCCTCTCCGTAGCGTTATTTTGCGAAAAATATATATTGTCACTTTCGTCGACGGATGACATTAAGAAACTGATCATTTTTAGTCCAATCATTAAAGGTACACACATTTTGATGAAAAGGTCCTTTTCTCAAAATAGGCCCTATCCATTTCAGCTTGTTCTTTGATAGTTTTTCGTTTTGTATTTTAATGGATGTTTGCGGTCTTTTATTAATTTTGGTTAATGATACTAGTAACTTCGATCAATCATGCTTATCGTTAATGTTAGATACTTGAAACTTCCCGCACGTCTGATTAATTCATCTTATCCGGTCATTCATCTGTCTATTCCATTTAGAAAATGGCATGACTATCCACGTTTTGTGTTCTTAAATTGACTTACCTTGCACAACTCGAAAGTTCAGAACATGTGTGAAGATATCGCACGGCATTTGAGATGACAAATAAAAACATTTCATCCATCCTATATTTAGTGCAAATTTTTCTATCCTGATAAAATTTATATCTGACCGAAAAAAAACCCTAGAAACAGGAGTGTTAAAGGTTATATACAACCCTGTGAAGATAGTTTCTTTCTTTGGGGCATTTTAATAGAATTTTGGACTGTAAGGAAGAAGGAAAGTAATTAAAAAGTGCGTAATTTTCTTGGATAAAGTACAAACAGAGAGAGTGCGCAGTCAGGGTGCTTTTTTCGGGTGAGGGGTGGGACAGAATTTTTTCTGATTTGTTTAGTCTTAAATCTAATGCTCTGAAGCAACTGTTTTTCGGTTTCTTTTTGTTTTAACTTGCACGGTACGCTCAAGACGCACATTCAGACAGCACGTGATGGAGTTTAGACGCAGATTCTGGCACGGTTTGGACGAATGCAAGATACAGTTCTCCCCTCTGCCATTAAGGTTGATCAGAGCTGTACCCACAATTATCCAATTAGACGACATAACTGCGTAGGGACCGCACTTACATGCACATTCTTCAGCTTGACGCGCACGTGCATTTGGCAAAATCACGACACCCTATTGGTCGAATACGCATGTCGCGCGCGCGTGTCATCTGTGTACGAGCTTTGTGCCAGCGCAGTGACGGCTTCTTGTTCTGGCTGTCGAATAACACTATAGAGAAGCGCCAACTTTAGACCTTGGAACCAAAACGGCTGTTCATATATTCAATAAGCCTTTTGCGAATTAACTTTGACCCAAATCTTTTACACTGAGTGAAAATCACAACTTGAATTCTCCTTACTAAAACCACTGTTGCTATACCTCATGATTCGGGGCAAGCTTTTGCTTAGTTACATAAGAGACGCCTTGCAACA